GGCGGCACGAGCCCCGCCGCGCCAGCTCCCTGCGCTTCCGCGGTCCATTCTCCCTTTCCTCCGCCGACAGCCCCCGGAACAGCGAGGATGTCCTTTCCTCTTCCCCCGCTCAGCTCCCGTGAATCACTCTCTTTCTTCGCCCCGAGCTCATTGGCGCCTGGGCGCACCCCTTCCACCACCTGAACGGGGAGAGGCGAGAGAGCGGACGGAGGCGCACACACACACACGCCCCCCACCTCCAGGCCGCCCCCTCCACGCTCCGGGTCTTGGCATTGGCTGCCGTTCGGTGCTCGTCAATCAGCCAATCCTCATTGGCCGAGAGGTTTGACTTCCTCGTGGATAGGCTAGCGGAGGGAGGTGATTGGCCGGAGAGCAGCTGGCTCTTTCTCTCCGGTTTTGTCGCTTTCCCCCTCCTCTCGTTGTTCTCTTCCTCCTGTGAAGGAAAGAAGTTTTGGCGGGTACTTTGCAAAGAGAGAGCTGCGAGAGAGGGCTTCTGGAAACAAACTTGCAGAAGGGATTGGTGGTACAACTAAAGAGGGATAACGCCCTGTAGGGAACAGAAGATAGAATAGAACTGGAAATAATACATGTCAGTAGGTCGTGCAGAATAGAACTGGAAATAAATATACAGGCGGTAGGAACAAACTCAAGAAGTGCCTGGGAAGAGGGCATAATAAAGGCGGGTAAGTCCGTTCACATAACCGAACGATCGGGGAATACTCTTCATGGTAGTGCATCGCATCAGTCAACAATTTGTATTTATTTCGATATTTATACCCCGCCTTTCTCCCCAGTGGGGGCCCAAAGCGGCTTAAGTTGCTCCCTCCTCCTCCATTTATTCTCACAGCAGCAACAACAACCGTGTGAGGTAGGTCGGACCTAGAGAGAGTGGCAAGCCCAAGTCCCTCAGCAGGCGTCCATGGCAGAGTGGCAATCTGAATCCGGGTCTCCCGCGCCCCCCCTCCCGATCCTACTCTGACGATGACATCACACTGACTCAGGCAACTATTGTAGGGGGAAGTGCTGATCCGTTAGAAACACCCCAGAGAACAGCAGCGCAGCAAAACGTTACTACTTTTATTAGGACCAACGAAAGCTGTCACAAAGCAGTGAGCAAGTTTTTGCAAGCTCCCCAGTCAGCCTGAACTTTTGATACACAAGGGAGGGGTGGGAGACAAAAAGATGTTTCAGGGCATAATGGAAACAGCCCAAAGTCTGTGGTGTGTTGCCTTCTTGAAATGCCGACAAGGAGGTGCTGTAGATGCAGTTAGATCATGGTGCTGCTTGCAAAGCAGCAAATACTGGACAATGCTGCCAGTGTTGGTGGATCAGTGGGTGGGAGTTGTTTTTCCAACTGTGCTCTCTCCTTATAGCTCTATCTAGGCTCTGCATAGTGCCCACAAGGCAAGTGCAAGCCAGTAACTGCTGATCCAGAGAGGCAGGCCATGCCACCATTTCCTTAATGGCTGTTTAATAAAAAAACACCACATATTGACTTCCCAGTGGATTTAGGACTTCCTGAACTGATCTTGAGCCTGCTTCTGAAAGTTTGGTTTATTGTGTGGTCTGCGAAAACCTTGACATTTGGCTGTTTAATAAAAAAACACCACATATTGACTTCTCAGTGGATTTAGGACTTCCTGAACTGATTTTGAGCCTGCTTCTGAAAGTTTGGTTTATTGTGTGGTCTGCGAAAACCTTGACATTTGGCTAACAGGGATGTGGTGAGCGGCTGATCATTAAAAATGGTTCCTTCTCTGACTTCACCCTGGAGCTTTTGCATTGTGGTATGGAGGCTAGAGTGTCAAACTGTGACAGAAGAAGAAGTAGAGATTGGATTTATACCCCGCCCTTCACTCAGAGTCTCAGATTGGCTTACAAACTCCTTTCCCCTCCCCTCCCCACAACAGACACCTTGTGAGGCAGGTGGGGCTGAGAGAGCTCTGACAGAAACTGCTCTTTTTCAAGAACACCTCTGACAGAACTATGGCTTGCCCAAGCTCATCCAGCAGCTGCAAGTGGAGGAGTGGGGAATTAAATCCAGTTCTCCCAGATTAGAGTCTGCGTACTTAACCACTACACCAAACAGGACAGGGGGCACCAGGGTTAAGATCCTTTCTTGTCTGTGAAGCTCCCTGGGTGACTGTGGGCCCATCCTTCTTTCTCAGACTAACCTACCTCACAGGGGTTATGGTAAGGACAAAACGAGGAGACCAATATATGCGGCCCTGATGGCTTTGGACCAGTGATGTGAGGCAGAAAAAATTTCGAAACATTTTCTGATGCAAATCTCTGATGGACTTTTGGCAGAAAGTGAACTGATGATCTGTGGGTTTGAAGAATAAAAGGATGAGAAATTATATATAGGTAAAAGAGAGGATTGTTAAATTTATGGATCTATAGAGAGAATGAATAGAGAATTAAGATGTACCAGTTGTAGACGCAAATCAAAATATAGGCCCCGATCACATGGGAGGATTTGCCCCGCAAAACGGATGGGTTGAGGGTGGATTAAACCGGCGCGATCAGATGCCAACATCTGGCAAGCGTCGCGCACCTGCCCCCAACCTGTTCCTTCCGGCCGAAAACACGGATTTAAAAGATACCTGTAAAACACTAGTACCTACTTGGAAATGCGTAGCACGGGCGGGCGTGTGATCGCCGACGCGTCTGTATCCCGTGGTATGCGAGGCCCTGCCACACTGCGCATGCGCTCAACTGTGCAGCTGCCTTGCCTCGCCCTTCGTCCCATCACTTCCCCCTTGGCATGTGATCGTGCCAGGAAGCAAATGCAGCACGGCTCGGGGGATCTGTCTGATCCCGATGCTGCGCTTCAATTTGCTGCGGCTTTCCCCACTAGTGTGATCAGGGCCATAGTCTCCCTTTTTTTTCTTTGTGTATTTTTTCTGTTCCTTTTTATGTATTCACATGAAAATTTAATTAAAAAAAATTTTAAATAACATTTTCTGATGCTGTGTTTTCGTATGGAAATTTTCCCACCCCACATATGTAAATATAAGCTATTTATAGCTGTCCAGACTGTTGTGCCACAAATCATGTTAGATAGGCTAAATGTGGGATATGAGGAATGGACAAATCTCAGTGCTTATACATGGTCCAGGGTTTGCATTCTTTTGCTAACACTATTTAAATTTTGCTAGCATTAACTAAGTTTGAGTCAGAAAACCCACATCACTGGCTTGGAGGAAGGCTAGGATAGAAATGTGATAAATTAAAATACACCCTGGACCAAATTAGATAAGCAAATGAGGGAGCCAGGAAAATGAGACAATTGTAACAGCAGAAAAGCTTATCCTCCAAAAATCTTGATGGTCTCGATGGTGCCACTGGACTGGGATCTCGCCGGTCTACTTCAGACCAACACAGCTACCCTCTGAAACTTTACTGGGATGTAAACTGATCGTCTGAAACATCCTCAGGTAAGTTATATAATATAAGGGATAGTTTAGGACTGACTTTTCAAAGATGGTTTGTATTCCACCTTCTGCATTGTTTTATAGTATACCTTGCCTAAGGCAACTGTTCTTATGGTTTTCTAATTATGAAATCTTAATCCTTTTATTCACTGAATGTCTTATGGTGTCTGATTGCATTGTTTTATATACTATAATGTGCCTTAAATCTCGGTGAGGAAGGTGAAAAGTACTGAGGCCAGAGACTCAGCATGGTGAATCAGCTCTTGTTTATTGAATTACATCAGGAACGAAAATATACTTTGGCCAGGCAATGCCCGGCTTATATGCGTGACCCACACCACACCCATCACCCGTGATTGGTTCTATTTACAAGTCTCCGGAATGCGATGCCGTTTTGACAAACTTTTTCTTCTAACCAAGAGTCTATAAGTTGATAATGTATGAAAAATTGCACTTCAATGGAAAAGCTGCCCAATTCACATGGAGTTCAATAACAGTTTCACCTATTCATTGCACAAGTAATGGAGAAGAACATCTCTCAGACAGAATAAAGCTTATGTGGTTAGAAGAAGACGTTTGTCGAAACGGCATCGCATTCCGGAGACCACCGTCCCGTCGTTGTCATCTTCTATCTTTATGTACCTGAATTTACAACTTGAATGTATCATTATTACGTTTGTACATTTCATGGAGCTGCGGTGGCTCAAGTGGTTAAGACACTGAACTGCAGGCTGTGGAAGGTCAGTAGTTCAGCAGTTCAAGACCCGGGTGCCGCAAGACGGGGTGAGCTCCCGTCTCTAGTTCCAGCTCCTGCCAACCTAGCAGTTCGAAAGCAAGAAATTGCAAGTAGATAAATAGGTACCACTTTGGTGGGAAGGTAACAGCGTTCCGTGCGCCTTGGTGTTTAGTCATGCCGGCCACATGACCACGGAAACGTCTTCGGACAGCGCTGGCTCTTCGGCTTTGAAACGGAGATGAGCACCGCAACCCTAGAGTCGGATTCGACTGGCTTTCAAGCAAGGGAACCTTTACCTTTACATTTCATATTTTCAACTTTACGGTTTTTGTTAAAGAAATATTGAGCGCACTGTGTACAGTTCTTGTGGTTTTATTTTTGCATGTCTACGGACTGTGACCATATTTGTTTTTGGGTCTATTTACAAGTCAACATCTCAATGGTTTCAGATCCGGGCAAACCCATTGGTGCGCCCTAGGATCCGAAGTGGCTATTGTCTTAAGACCGAAGGTCGGAAGGTTT